TCTCTCCCTCCTCTCTCTCTCTCCCCCCTCCCTCCCCCTCCTCCTTCTTCCCTCCCCTTTCCTCATTTCTCTTCCTTAATGTGATGCCGTTATCTACACACAAACAGAAATTATTCTAATGTTCCTCCTGTGAAGGCAGGAGCTTTATTTGCAGCCTCACTTTCTCACACATCATTATCGCAGAGGGAGAGTGTCCAGCCTCGGGCTCAGGAGGCCTGGGCTCCCAGCCCCACTTCTCACACTCGGTCCCTTGTGTCACATGGTGAGACCGCTTCACCTGTGAGCCTCAGTTTCCTTCTGGTAGAAATGAAGTGTCACTAACCACACCCATAGTGCCGCCTCCAAGTGGAGTTCTGTGAAGGTTAAATGAGTTGACAAACCATGCTAAGGGAACATCAGCTCTTCATTGGCTTCCTCTTTTCCGGGTGCTCCAAGGGTTGGAACATATATGATCTCATTCAATCCTCCCAAGGATCTTGTGAGGCATCATTATCTCCATTTTACAGATGAAGAAACTGAGGCATAGTGGGATGAAAAGACTTGCCCAGGATCATATAGCTTACTGGTATCTGAGGCAGGATTTGAACCTAGGTCTATGCTGGGCTCCCTGGGTCCTTACTGTAACACAGAGATTAGGACACCAGGAAGCTGGCCCCCGTCTTGTGCCCTTCCCCCCAAGAACTGGAAGACCAAGCCTTGGTGGGGCCTCAACATGGTAGGAACCTCCCAGCCCTTTCCTGTTCCATCCTCCATGTAGCAGACACCAGAGAAGGCAGACTGAGCTAGAATGAACGAGTGTATGTTTGGATAAAAAGTCACGTTAACGAGTGGCCCTCCTTCCTCCCTTGTGGGCACCATGCCTGGCTTCCTCCTGGAACCCCAGGGCAGCCCCAGACTGCCAACTCCTTCTCTCACAACATTTGCTGCTGAGCTCCTCCACCCATTGAGTGCAGTAGGAGCCTTCATCCCTCCTCCTCCTCCTTCTCTGCTCGCGCACCCCCTGCCCCAATCTCACTTCTCCCTCTGGTTCTCTTCAGGATCAAAATGAACGAAATCGTATTTCTGGCTACTGGAAACAGGTCGGGCCCATCGCCGTCGGCTCCTTTTGCCTCTTCATATTTGACATGTGTGAGAGGTTAGTAATGGCTGTGCCTGAATCCATGGTGGCCGTCTAGGGCCTCACCCTGTGCCCTACTGTCCTGGGGTGGGGAGCATGGAAAGCTCACTGACTCTGGGGTCTGAGGAACTGTGTTCAAATCACACCTTTGGGCAAAACCCACGCAGGTCACAGGACCCTCGGTCCAGAGCTGAACAAGACCTCCCTCAGAGCCCAACCAGCCCAATACTCCCATTTTACAGACAGGGAAACTGAGGCCCATAGCAGTGGGTGACTTGTACAGTGTCACACAGGACATGGATGGTGGGTTCAGGTCCTCTGACACCAGCCCCTGTGTTCGCTCTTTCCACTGCATCATGTGGGACAGTTTCCTCACCTATGACCCTGTGAGCCCTTGGGTCACCACTTGGTACCTGCTTTGTACAAGGCGCTGTCGTAGGAGTTGGGAAGCAAACCTCCCCCTCCTGCCTTTAAGGCACCCCCCTTTCTCCTGCACGTGGCGTTGAGGGGCACCCACACAGACAAGGACGATAAATGACAGTCGTTTGAAAACCGGCGTCTGTCTGATCTTTGTTCTGTGACAAGGAGAGGGCTTGATGTAATCCCCCACCCCCCCACCCCAGAGCTATCCCGCAGCCCATCCTGACCCCTCCTGCATCAGACAGGTAGGCACACACACATGCCCTGTAGGCAGCTGACACAGTTCTAACCCCCAAACCCAGTGAGCTACTGGGGTCTCTCCTTAAAACAACAACTACTGATATGCTTTCTTTGCATTTTTTATTTTATTATCTGGTTACCTCTTGTTTCTCCTGGGAAGATGTAAGGCCTTGAATAAATGTGCATTGAGTGAATGAACCAAAATGCATGGTGGCATACCTGCTTCCTCCCTCCTGACTCTCCTGGAGACATTGCCCTTCCCCCAGCCCGCCCATGCTCCAAGTTAAGAAAACACGGAAGAGTTTTTCCCTCTGATCGTCTCAGTGACCCCCTCTTCTCTGTTTCGGTTTCTTTTTCTTTGCAGAGGGGTGCAGTTGACAAACCCTTTCTACAGCATCTGGACCACAGATATTGGCACCGAGCTGGCCGTATCCTTCATTGTCTCAGGGTGGCCCCTCCCCAGAGCTGGCTTGCCATCACTCCTGACCCTTCCCCTGCACCTAAGCCGGCTTCATTCACCCCAACCAATTAAAAGGAAGAGACGAAGTGAAGTAATTAGGAAAATGAATGCCAACTTTGGCGTCAGAGCCGGGCAGGCAAATGATGAATTAGTATTTTGCTCCCATTACAGAGGAGACCTTGCCATAGTTCCCTTGAGCTCCCAGCCGGCCTGAATGGTCTATTATGCACCGGTCTGCCTGGCTTCTCTCTCGTGGGGTGGGGGGCGGGGTTTGGCTCCTCGTTGGGTGACACTTGAGAGCCTCTTTCTGAAGCCATTTAGGGAAGATGCATTTTGAAGTGACCTTGGTGCGTTGGGAGGGCCCCAAGCCAAGCCACCACTCACTTTTATTCTGAAGTGGAGATAGCATCAAAGGAATGAGTGTAGCTGGAGGGTCCTGGGTTTTGGGTGGGCTCCCAGGCAGAGCCTTCTTCTGTGGCGCTTTCAGAATGCTGACTTGGATCATTTTATCTCCCTGAAGTCATACGTGAGTGCTTGGAGAAGAGGGTGGTTCTTGATGGAAGAAGGGAAGGAGCTTTGGTAGCAGCCTTGCACTGGGCGGGGGGGGGGGGGGGGGAAATGCCGCCCTGATTTTAGTGGTGGAGCCCTGAAAGGGTCGGGGTCAAGGTCTCACAGTCAGGAGGGGTGCGAGGCTTCCCGACTTGCTCCCCATTTTCTATGCTGGAGGAGCCAGAGTGGCAGCCCCAAGGGGCCAAACTCTGGAATACTACTGATTCAGGTGCAATTGGGAAGTGTTTAACAATATAAGTAAAGCTACATACAGTACAAGAGAGATAATGTTCATTTTTGGTTTTCTAGGTCAATAGGCAGTCCCCTTCCATTTGAGCTTTCTCTCTGCCGTACAGGCCTCTGAATATGTGAAAGAATTGTGTGTATTTGTAGAGCCTGTGACTTCCTCTCCCCCGTTATCCTTTGGATATCGCTTTTCTCACAGCCCTCTGGCATAGAGGAAATAGCATGAAACAGCATGCCCATTTTTCTGATGAGTTGCAGAGGAAGGGGACTGTCCTTCTCCAAGGTTTAGGGCTAGAAGAAACACAAGCTCTTGGGGCTGTGAGAGTGAAGATTTGTAACCAGACGGGGCCTTTTGGATCATCTAGCCCGGCCCCTTTGATGAATGAGGAAACCAAGGTCCAGAGGAGAATTGACTTGTCTAAGGTCACTTGGAGCTTTGGTGCAGTGGGAATAACCCTGGAGTCAAGTCTTGGCTCTGTTTACCACCCACATGACCTTTGGCAAATTGTTTAACCTTTCTTCTGTTAGTTATTTCCTACTTATCCCGTCTATAGCTTGTTCAATCAGATTTGGTTGCATGTTTCCCCCGTTAGACTGTAAGCTCCTTGAGGGCAGACACTGTCTTTTGCCTCTTTTTGTATCCCCAGGGCTTAGTGCAGTGCCTGGCACATAGTAAGCACTTGATAAATGTTGATTGGTTGATTTGTCCTCTCTGTGCCTCAGTTTCCTCATCTATTATGAAGCAACTAGGGTCTTCTCCAACATTAAATCTTTAATCCTGTGGTCCTTTGTCCCACAGGTAGTAAGGAGAAGAGCTGAGATTTCAAGCCAAGACTCCCGTGCCTTTTGTATTGTAACCATTCAGAAGGCCAGGATCCTCATCCAGCTGTGCCCTTGATGAGCTGGGGCAGAGGTGGGACTATTTTGAGGCTCTCCAAGCCTCAGTTTTCTCATCCAGAAAATGAGATTAATAATGTTGTACTGACTGTCACCAGCCCCACCACCTCTCACCTCCCTCAATACAGCAAACATTCTTTCTGTGGGAAATAATTGGGTTCAGCCCTTTCAGAAGGTAATTTCTTTTGCTTCTGAATGAGTCAAAGTTAGTTCCTAATGCAAACCCTGGAATTTTTAATGTCACTGAGTGCTCAGTAGGTGAAACACATTCCAAGAAATCTGGTTGGAATGGTGCACGGATGAGGATTAAGAGAAAAAATAGGTAGAAAAGTACTTTGTTACTTTGGGCACCAGATATTTTTAATAGAATTTTTTGTTCATCTTTAGTTTTTCCATCACCTCTATTAATCCCAATGTATCACTCACCCTCTCAGAGAGCCACTATCCCTTATAACAAAGTTTAAGAGGGCAGGGGGAGGGGATAGGGAGAAATAATTCCATAAAACCAACCAATATGTAAAAGTCTTACATCATATGCAATATTACATTCCCACAGCCCCCCATCTCTGCAGAGGCACAAGGCACCTTATAGATGCTAACAAGGATGAGGTCCAGCAGCAAGACAGGGTTAAAAAAAAAAAAACCCACTGCCTTCAAACGCAGAGGAGTTGAGGTCACTTCACTGCTTTGAGACCCAGGTTCATCTTCTGTACAAGGGAAGGCATTGGGCTCCATGCTTTCTGAGCTCTCGTCCAGCTCAAAGGCCATGACCCATGTGTTAAGGGATGTGTTTGTTCCATATTCCCCCATGATAGGGAGAGTAACGCATCTGCGGATCTGATCTCCTTTTGTTTCTTTCATTTGAGGCAGTTAAGTGATTGGAATTGGAGTCAGGGAGGCCTGAGTTCAAATTCAGCCTCACACACTTACTAGCTGAGTGACCCTGGGTAAGTCACTTAACCCCATCTGCCTCAGTTTCAGTATCGGTTGGTAGATTTCACAGCCGTATGTCCTCAGTCTCCCCGCTGGTTGCTAGGATCTCACATCTCCCTCTGAACTTCATAAGATCATACATTTAGAGCTGAAAAGGGACTTTGGGGCCATCAAGCTTAATCCTTCACAAAATGGATGAGGAAACTGAGCTCTGGCAGATGAAGTGATTTGTTCTAGATCCTACAGATGTGTTGTAGGCCTTTGTCACCTCATTTGTAAAATGGGGATGAGGAAAAAAAAAAAAAAACTTGCCCTACCCACCCAAGGCTGTCGTGAGGAAATCTGGTCAGCCCCGAAAGTGCTGTCAATATGTCTGCGCCGATCCCCCATTGAGATGAGGATTGACTCTTTGAAAGCACTGTTTCATTATCCAGTTGTTCGTCTACCATCCCTTTGATGTCATGCTCTGGTTTGTTTGTTTGTTTGTTTGTTTTGCCGGGAGTCAAGTTTTTTGGCCTGTAGTTGACAAATTCCGCTCTTGGTTTTTGATATATCTTTCCATGTAGCCCAAAATTCATCCATCAAAAAACGTTTATGAAGCACCTGCTATTTGCTGGGCACTGGACCTTCACCCCCTCCCCTGCTCTGTTTGCCCAAGGACTTTATCACGTGAATCTCCAGCCTCCTGTCTGCACCCCCTCCCCACCCCAAAGGCCCTTCAGTCTCTGGGGAAATGAAAATTAGCTGCCCTTCCGTGCGAGGTTGGGGGATCCTGTGCCCCACAACGCCGTGTCTCTTACTTGAACCCCAACAACCCGGGCAGTATGTAGCTAGCCAGCGTGCTCACTTCGCTGTCTCACCTTTGGATTGCTGAGGCATTGCGACGTGGATAAAATGTTCGCTTAAAGTCTCAAGATCTGAGTTTCAATCCCGGTTCAAGCATTTACTGGCTGTGTGATCCTGGCAAGTCAGCTGATATCTCTGAGCTTCACTTTCCATATCAGTGAAATGGGAATCGTGATAATAATAATAACACTTGACCTTATGACATCTACGTGAGACCCGGCTGGACCCAACATAAGGCACTTTACAAAGGTTAAAGCATTATATAAATGTCAATTAGTATTATTCTTGTCATTATCTCATTCTTCTCATGTTGTTTGATGGAGTTTCTGATGGAACCAGTCCTAGGACAGGTAATTGTCGTTACTAATGGTGGTGATGATATGGGCAGTGGAGCCTAGCAGATAGAGGGCTTGCCTTAGAAACCAGGAAGACCTGGGTTCAAGTCCAGCCTTTGACACACAATGACCATATAACCCTGGACAAACCATTTAACTGCCCAGGCCACTGTCTAAGATCTTCAGACACAGAAAGGGTGCCAACTTGCGTTGGTAGTGGGAGTACTCTACACCCATGAAATCACACAAATCCTCCTTCTTCTTAGAGCCCAGTTTAGCCAGTATATGTCCTATTTGTACGTGGCTGGCACATGTTGTCTCCCCATTAGAATGAGGGCTTCTTGAGGGCAGGGGATATTGTTTATCTTTTGCTGTATCCCAACACTTAGCGCAATGCCTGGTTGACCATCTGTTCGTGACTAGTTGTGAGGATCACGCTCAAGCCGCCGCTATTTGCGTCATCCTGGGTGGGTGATGCCGAGAAGCCAGCCTCCTGGTTTTACCCTTTCAGTCTCCACCTCGGGGTTGTCCTTTCCTTTACCCAATGCTCTCAGATGGCCTTCATCATCGTCGCTGGGATCTGCCTCTGCCTCTACTTCTTGTTTCTGTGTTTCATGGTCTTCCAGGTGTTCCGGAACATCAGCGGGAAACAGTCGAGCCTGCCTGCGATGAGCAAGGTTCGCCGGCTACACTATGAGGTGAGCCTTCTCCACGCACCTGGGCATTCAGATCCCCAGCTCTGGTGGCCCTGGCCTCCATAAAGAAATAGCATAACCAACATTCCCTTTGGGATCCCCGTACAAGCTCCGAGACTCTCCCTGCCCTCAGAAACCACTGAATCAGTCTGCGTCCACCTAGGAATTTCCTGGGGTTCATCTCCATCGTCTCCATCATCTCAGCTTGGTTTGTTTCCTCTGGGATCTAGCTTTTGAGACACTTTATTGGATTTGCAGCAAGGGTGGGCTTGGGCTAAGGGAAGGACGGGTGACACCCAGCACAGAGTGAGTGAGAAGGTGAGGAGCAGATCTCAGCAGCTCTTAAGCGTCCAGCCACCGACTGGACCAGTAGAGAGACGTCACGCAAGGGGTATTGACTGAGGTTGGTGGTGCGGTGCGGGGAGTTGGAAAGACTTGAGTTCCAAACCTGTCTTGGACATTTACTGGGAGTGCGACCTGGGGCATGCCATGTAACCTCTGCCAGCCTCAGTTTCTTCATCTACATAATGGGAGGGGGTAATAATAACACATACCTCCCAGGGTGGTTGTGAGGATCAAATGAGATAATATTTGTAAAGCACTTTGCAAACCCTAGAGCCTCATATAAACACTGGCTATTCTCCCCTCTCTGAAGATAAGAACCATTACTAAAGAAATGCGCTGAGGCAAAGGACTTTCTAACTCCATGAGTACTGCAGGTAATAGTTAACAGGAGGTCCTGGGCACAGAACACAGGGAAGGACAGGGTGCCCTAACTCTCCCTGGAGAAGGGCATGGCATCTTTGGAACCTCATATGAAGGCAGTATGGTACCTGGTGGGGTGTAATATGCGAGAACTGGAATCTCAAGGGACCGGGGTCCAAATTCCAGGGTCCATCAGTCACTAGCCAGCTGTGTGACCTTAGCCTAGTTAGTCCAGCTCTCAGAGCCTCATTTACCTCATCTGTAAAGTGGGTGTAATACCAACAGGAGTACTTTCCTCCCAGGCTTGTTATGAAGCTAGAAGGTTATAATATGTGGAAACCAATCAATCATTATTTCTGTAGTACCTACTATGTGCCTATTCCTGTGCCTATAAATACACTGAATGAAACAACTACAATGTACAAGGAACTGCTATTCTGTTATGGTGTTTATGTGTGTTTATATATATAAATAATATATAATATTTCTATATATTTAAATTCTATATATTTCTGATATATTTAAATTATATATTACATATACTTTAAATATATGTTTATAGAATACATTTAAATTATTTATTTAAATATAAGATATATTTGTATATATGTGTATATTTATAAATGCACATATATTTATGTCTAATATATTCAGATATCTAATATATTTAAATTACATATAATGTATTTATGTATATACATAATATGTATAGAGAAAATAAATACAACCTGGTTAGATATGAGGTCACTAGGGAGGGAGGTCATGAGCATTTGGGGGAGGCAGGAAAAGCTTCATGTGGAAGGTGGTACTTAAGAACGTCTTCCTCCTGAAGGAAGAGAGACTCTGTGGGACAGTGGTGAGGAGGGAGTGTGTTCTGGGCATGGTGGCTGGTGAGTACAAAGGCGTGGAGATGGGAGATGACGTGTAAAGAGCAGAGAAAGAGAAGGTCAATTTGGCCGAATCACAGAGTACCGGACGGGGAGTGATAATGGCCGTTGATCCTAGAAAGAGAGGTTGGGGGCAGGTGGTGGAGAACTTTTGAAAAACTACACAGAGGAGTTTAGTTTATCCCAGAAACAATAGGGAGCCACTACAAATTTTTGATTGGTCAGATCTGTGCTTAAAGGAAGTCGATGATTCTCAATAATGGTGCTATCCTGGTTTGTAAATGATAAGTTACAGTGTCTTTGTAGGTGTGAAGGGCTCCAAAATGCTTTACTAATGTTATTTCATTGGCTAGCACTTTATGCCCACCCATTGAGTTTGGAGGGCTCATGGTTCAATGGGAAGAGCACTGAATTTGGAATCAATCAATAAACATTTATTAAGCAGCTACTATGTGCCAGGTACTGTGCTGGTCACAAGACCTGAGGAACCCAGGTCTTCCTGAATTCACAGCCACAGGGCCCTAATCCTTTGAGCTCATGTCAATGGCCACAATTACAGGTAACTACAGGTGACGCCTGGTCCTCTTTTCAGAAGAGGGAAAAATTCCAGTGAGCCCCTGGCACGCCGGTGGCCATGTGCATTTCTGTCTGCTCGTCAGAGCAGAATGGCATTATGTTGTCAGAGAAGCCTAGGCTTGGTTTCTTGGAGACCCTGCAGGGAATCATAACCAGCTTATCGGGGAAATTAACCGTGAGACTTGCTATTAATTTGATTTTCCGGTCTCTAGAATCTCTGTTTTGTAGAAGATAAGGGCACAGAAAAAATTGGGTTCTAGGAAATGCCTGCCTTCTCTCCCTCCACTGAAGGAAACTTAGTTGCGTGACCTCGGCAGGTCAGGGACTAAGGTTTTGCATGTGCTATTTGTGTGTGTTTGGAAGTTTCCATGACATTTTCCACAAAAGCATGACACCCAGCACTCTGGCTACAGCTCATGGGGCCTGAAAGAAATCTTTGTGCTTCCTCCAAACAGGGCCTGATTTTCCGGTTCAAATTCCTCATGCTCGTCACCTTGGCTTGCGCCGCCATGACGATCATCTTCTTCATCGTTAGCCAGGTAAGCCTCTGGCTGGGACCTCTATCCTGAAGGCAACTCAGTGAGTTTGGTGGGAGTGATGGCAGAAGGAGCTCAGGGTTCAAACCCTGCCTCTGCCCCTAAACAGCTTGTGACCATGTTGTGTCTCTATTGAGGACTCAATTCCTCATCTGGGCGATGAGGGCAGCAGGCCTGATACCCTCTGAGACCTCCCTAGCTCTAAATCTGGTATCCTTTGAGGTCCTGGGCAAAAGACTCAGTAGCATGGAGAGGTCGGGGATCAGGAAACGAAAGAGCAACACTGAATCATAGGATGCTGCTGCTGATAACAGTGATAACAGGCCATGCGTGATTAAGCTTCCCCTGTCCAAGGCTGTAGTGCCTGGGTATGTTGCTTTCCTGGTTCTCCTTACTTCACTTTGCATCAGTCAGTTCATAGGAGCCTTTCCCTTCTTCTCCATCTTCCTTATTTCCTGTCCCTCAACTGGCAACATCCCGTTATGTCCCAGGCCCACCAGTTCTTCTGCCATTACCCGGTGGATAGGCATCTGCTTCGTGGCTGCTTCTCTGATGCTGCAGAAGAGTAGCTGCTGGCATTTTTTGGATGTACATGAGGCCTGTGTTTTTCTCAAAAACAGTTTATTTTGCATCCCTCTCATGTACTTAGCAGTTAACACTGGGCAGTGGTTATTGATGCTGGTGGCTATCTCCCTCCCTGATGATCAGTTCCACAAGGGAAAGGGCATTATCTTACCTAAACTTTGTGTTCTTCTGGCCTCTCGCATAGTTATCTGCATTCAGTAGGCTTTAATAAGTGTTTGTGGAATGGATGAATGAATGAATGCCTTTTCATCCATCTCTGGGAGGGAAAAGGGAGTCTTCACAAGGCTTTCTAGGAGACTTCATGGAATGGACAAGGTGGTTGAGTGAATGTTTTTGAATCTGTCCAAATGGAGAAGTTGCCGCGATCCCTGCGGCAGCCTTCTCATCACCTGCCTGCTTCCTGTTTGTGCCGTTGTCCTTTCCTACATGTTGTTGATGGAGAAGTCTTCCTTAAGCCCAGACCAGACCGCGCCACTCCCCTACACAGACGCTTCCAATAGCTTCCTGTTGTCTGCAGGTAGAATAGAAATTCCTCCACTTAGCTTCTAAAGCTCTTCACAGCCTGGGCCCAGCTCACGTGGCCAGCTTTCCTGGCCATTACCCCCCAGCTCACACTGGCCTGCTCTCTGGTAGTCACAGACGACACCTTTCTGCCTTTGGAATGACTGTCCCCCGTGCCAGGAAATCACCCCATCTCTGCCTC